GTCCCTCAGCTCTTCAGCTCAAGGTGAGCGCTCTACCACTTGAGCTACAGCGCCACTTCTGGTTTTCTGGTGGTTTATTGGAGATAGGAGTCTCAAGGTCTCTCCTGCCCAGGCTGGCTTTGAATCGCAATCCTCAGATCTCAGCCTCCTGAGTAACTAGGATTACAGGCGTGAGCCACCGGTGCCCAGCTGTCTCCATTTCTTGGAGCCCTTTGTGACTGTATTTCTTGGTGCTTGGCATTGGACACTTGTTTTAAATTTTGTTCCTTAGACCAAATTTGATTATTTTGGTCCTTCACATATTTTATGAACAGTGTCTTAGGGGAAAGTCGTTTATCCAGAGTAGAATGGCCCTTTCTAGGTAGGCGAAAGGATCTTTCTACTCTTATCAACACCCCCCGGGTGTCCTGAAACTCTTGGCCTAGCTGTTCTGTAGGATGGTTTTCCTCTGGCAGCCTTTCTTGTAGCCTAGAATCCTGGAGTTTCATCCTACCCTACCTCCCGGCAACATTCACCCAGAAAATCAGAGGATTGCTGTCCCCAGTCCTCCAGCCCTCACACTCTGTGTTTTCCCTTCTCTGACTTTCTAGCAAATTCTAGTAAGCATCGGTCTCTTTGATAACACCGACTTTTGTTTTTCGACTCAATAAAACTGCCACTTTCTGCTTCCGTTCTTTCCCTATGTAATGTTTTCTGGAAAATCCTTCCTAACATAAAATCCTGTTGTCTTCTCATCCGTCCTTTCCTCTCTGGAATTACAGCCCAGGTGTTACTTGCATTCCAACATCTGGCTAAAGCTATCTGCAAAATCTACCACAGTTTCCTCCTTGTTTTGGTTGGACTTTTGTAATTTTTCATTATTCCTGCTGACATTTTAATGCATTTCTTTATAAAAATCAATTCATCCTTTATTAACTGTCCCTCTTGTTTGTTTTCTCTTTGATCCCTACCCATGATTTTATGATTCTTTTTCAGATTTTATACTCATCTTTGGGTCTGGTTGTTTTTGTCTAATTTCTTAAAGTAACAACAATTGTTCTTCTTTTGTTAAATAGCTTTTTGATGACAAATTCCCATCTCAGCAGAGTAATGTCACCTCCCAATGCTTTTACTAATATTCAATCAAATTATTTAATCTTTTCTCTTGATTTTCTCTTTGACAATGAAGCTGCATTGTGGGAAGAGGCAGTCCAGCGTACAGCTCAGCTGGGTTGCACTGGAGGAATCGCACTTTCCACAGGAAACTCCATGCACCTGTGTGTTTTATGCACAGACTAGTGATGCCATCTTGAGCTTTGATAGATTCTCCAGGATCTTCAAGTGATTCAGGAACCCCAAATGGAGAGAGAAGATGCCTGTGAGATCCAAAATATTTCCAGATTTAAAGCCAGTCCCACACTGGGTGGCGGTGGCTCCCATCTGGAATCCTAGCTACTCAGGAGGCTGAGATCTGAGGATCACGGTTCAAAGCCAACCTTGTCAGGAAAGTCCATGAGGCTCTTATCACCACTAAACTACTAATAAAAATAAAATAAAGTAAAACAAAATGAAAGTGAAGCTGTGGCTCAAGTGGTAGAGCGCTAGCCTTGAGCAAAAGAAGCTCAGAGACAGTACCAGGCCCTGAGTTCAAACCCCACAACCCTCCACCACCACCATCCACCCACCCATAAAAAGGAAAAGTTAGTCCCAGGAAAACAAACAAACATTGCCTATGGATTTCTGGCATGCTTGGGCCTGGGTTCCATTAGACAAACAGACTTCTAGTAACTTCTTGGAAGGGATTGTGAGTCTTAAAAATCTTACCTGGTTATAAAAAAATTCATATAGAATCTTAAGGAAATATCTTTGGAAACTCATAGTTTGCTTTCCTTCTTTCTTCCTTCCTTCCTTTCTCTCTCCTTCTCCTTTCCTTTCTCTGTCTCTCGCTGTCTTTCTTTCCTTCTTTCTTTCTCTTCTTCCTTCCTTCCTTCATCTTTCTTTCCTTTGTTGATCCTGGATTTGAACTCAGGGCCTGGGCACTCTCTCTGAACTTTTGTGCTCAAGGCTGGCACTCTACCACTTGAGCCACAGCTCTACTTCCAGCATTTTTAGTAGTTATTGCAAAGAAGAGTCTCATGGTTGTTACTGCCTGGGCTGGCGTGGAACAGCAATCGTCAGGTTTCAGCCTCCTGAAGAGCTAAGATTACAGGCACAAGCCACAGCCCCTGGGTTTCTGGGACACAATGACCCGTGTTCATACGATTGATCACGTCAGGTTTTCACATACGAATGACTCTTATTCTTTCACCTCATGATTTTATATGTGCGAGTCTTCATAAAACGTTATTAAACATGTGTTTGTCTTTTCCTTGTTCCTTTCCCTTATAGAAACATGCTCAAAATCAGAGATAGAAGTCGTGAATGGGTTTCTGTCCCAGTCAGATTATGTATACAATGTAAATAAACAAACAGAATTCAAGTGCAAGCCAGGATATATCACAGCAGAGGGGGAAACATCGGGAGCAGTGACGTGTCTGCAGCATGGCTGGTCGGCGCAACCTGCTTGCATCAGTGAGTAAACCAGTCCACGGCGATGAGCAGCCCTTAGCATCCACCGAGGGTTAACTTCATTCTCTCTTCAATTTATCGGAAAGAAAAAGAAAAAGACAGTCTTTGAGGAAAGGTGTACATTAGTGTGTTTTTCTCCAGGACTAAGTTTTAGTATCGTGGAATATCAGTACATATTTGCCTTGTTCCTTTAAAGGCATCCATGGTTCAGAAACTAGTGAGACAGCGTGATGTGTAATCCATGCAAGCTCACTTATTTTATCTGAAACCATCGCAGCTGTTAGTGCCTACCTCGCCGTGGCCTGGATGTCCACGTGTTTGTAAAAGTTGTCTTCTTGGTTAAGATATTGGTACATGGTATATAGTTCCAGAGTAATTTAACTTCTGTAATTTACATATTGGATGCCATAAAGTCAATCTACTTTGGCCCTCTTAGAAAACCTACATCAACCTCTAGTTGGAAAACAAGCCATGTTTCTGAACGGCACCTACTTTTTGCTGTGTTAAAAGGTTTTCTGCAATCCTATCTAGAAGAGAATGAAGGCTTTTGTAAGACAGATCTGCTCAGTTTATATTATTTGTCAGAACACCAGTCAGTGCTGCTTTTAAACTGCTGTTTAACACATGTAGGATGAAGTGGCTAATTAAGCTATCCATTCCCGGTGTCTCGCTGTCTCTGTTTCTTCCTTTACATTCAATGCTTATTGCAGGGTCTAGCTACAGAGAAAAGATGATAAAAATGGTCCTCATCCAGAACTTATTTTGTACCAAATTACAATCAATAATCCATCAGGAGACTTTCTTATTGTCCATGAAATCTGTCTTACATAATAAATGCATTGATTTTTTTAAAAAAACTCATTAACCAACTTGTTTCTTTATGTCACAACGGGTAAAGTCTGCTACATTAATAACACAAAATACTGTTATAGCTGCATAAAAATGTGACATTCATTCATATTGGCCTACTTATTTAATTCTGCTTACTTTAATCCTAGTATGGAATAAATGCATGAATATGACTAAATTGAGAATAAAATCAAATGTTTTCCAAGAGTTTAGGTGATATGAAAAATGTTATGTATGAATGTTTTTCATTTCTAGCATTTCATTGTCATTGATAACTAATATAAAATATTGGTAATTAATATATAATTTATGTTACATACAGTATATATAACAATTTTATACTCTATATAATAGCTATATAATAACTCTATAGTAACAGATACTGTCCTTATTTTGTACAGTACTAGTTTGTTAGCATATGCTAATCAATAAGGTCTGTTCTGTTCTTACTCTGAAAATTACTCTGGCCAACCTTCAAAGTCCATCGGGAATGAAATTCTCAATTTTGTTGTATGTTAGAATCTTGTGATAAGCCAGTATTCGAGCATGCCAGCTCCAAAAATAACGCCTCGTGGTTTAAACTCAATGACAAATTGGACTATGAATGTCACGTTGGATATGAAAATAAACATAAAAAAGTCAAAGGTTCCATAGAATGTAAACATGACGGATGGTCAGATACACCTTCTTGCTTTGGTAAGTGCTCTTTGTGTTTTCAGGAATTTTTTTTCCCCCTAAAGATTAAAAAAAAATAGATGTTTATGTGTTCTAGTTTGAGCATTAAAAAATGTCTGGATATATTTGTAAATAATAATAAATTCAAGGCCTTTCTTTTCTGATTGAGTGTAGGCTGTGATTTAACATTTGAATGATGTCTTGAAGGCCAAAGATACTAATGTGCTGCCAAAAGAATTGATTAACCAAGCATGATGGTGCACAGCTCTGGTCTCAGCACTCAGGAGGCTAGGCTAGGATTGTGACTTTGAGGCCAGCCTGGCTATAGAGCGAGTTGCTGTCAAAAAACAAACAAGCAAACAAGCCAATGCAGTGAATGGGTCTCTATGGACCACGGGCAACACGTAGTTCTGGTTGGAGAGTAATTGCTTTTGTTATTCTGAAAGTAGGTAGGCTTTTAAGCGATTGGAAACTGGAAAGTCATCGCCAAGCTCAGGATGCTGTTTCTGCTTTACATCTTTCCCCTTGACAGTTAAATTCTACAGGTCCCAGCACAACTGTTCGCTTTCTAACATTGGTGACTTGTAAAGAAATGAAATAAAAAGCAGTTGAACTGGCAGATTGCCGGTCAGGACAGCGAGTCAGGGCTTCCTTCCTTCTCCTCCTGAGTGAAAGGTAGATTTAGGGGTCTGGGAAACCCAATGTGGATCATTCTGTCAGGGAATGTTTAGGCTTGTCCACTGAGCACCTCCCTCCTTGGTTCATGACAAATATGAAATTCACTTGGGCAATGATTAATTCTGTATTCTTACTAAATCATTTTCCTTTTTATTCTTGCTTTACAAAAAGAAAGAGAATGCAAGATTCCCAAAATGGAAAAATACTTAATAGCTGAGCCCAGGAAAGAAAAATATAAGGTTGGAGATGTGTTGAAATTCTCCTGCCGGCCAAGACGTACAAGAGTTGGGCCGGATTCGGTGCAGTGCTACCACTTCGGGTGGTCTCCACGGGTCCCAGTGTGCAAAGGTGAGTGCGACAGGAGGGCTCAGGTTCTGAGCAGCAGCCTCTTCTCTGCGCTCTGAGATCCCTGTCGTCTCCTGCATGTGCGCCACCTCGTGCCTTCTGAGAACATACCGGAAGGACTCCGGTATTCATGTAGTAAGTGAATCACCAGTTGTTTCTGCAAATACACATTGACACATGCGCACAAGGGAGCTAGGTAGAGAGGTTGCTTGTGTGTCTTTTCAGGGTGCCACACTCCCACTATTAATAGGGAAGAATTCGTACAGCTCGTACCTCATCCCAGGCTTTGTTGAGCCTGCCTAAAAAACTGACTTAGTTCAGCACTGTGTATTAGTGAACCAAAGTAAAATGTATTCATCTGTGATGATACTCTTTCAAAAGAGCATTTATAAAATATGACCTTAGATTATAAAAATTAATATATTTACTTGTGTGTGTGTGTGTTTGCTGACGGGTGTACATGCATCCTGAAAGTATCTAGATTATTCAGCATACCTAAAGCCTCGAATATATTTCTAATGCTATTTCAAAGGAAATAATATGAATCAATTACAGATACATATGAAATACAAATAATATGATTCAGTATTTGATTGCAACACAAATGCAATGCAAATATTCTTTTTAACAAAGCAGGCTGTAATAAATTAAGCGACTAATAGATTCTGAAGAGAAAACAGTTTCATTGCACTGTGTTTTAAAGTTGTAAACTGAAGGATGTAGACATAACTGACTCAGTGCTTCTGTAGAAACGGTCCAGCCCTGTGGTCCCCCACCTGAACTGCTCCACGGGGAAGTGAAGGGACCCCTGGAAGAACAATACGCACACGGCGATGTGGTGGAGTACAACTGCAGCTCTAGATTTCTCATGAAAGGACCAGAGAAGATTCAGTGTGTTGATGGAAAATGGACAACCTTGCCAGTATGCATCGGTAATCATTTTTTTAAAACTATTATTTTTTCTGGGCACCTGTCGTTGTAACTACTCAGGAGGCTGAGCTCTGAGGATCCCAGTTAAAGCCGGCCCTCGAAAATCAATCTTAACAACTTTTCTTTCCCATTCACCAGCAAAAAGCCTGAAGGTGGAGGTGTGGCTCAAGCGGAAGCGTGCCATCCTTGAGTGAAAAAGCCAAGTGGGAGCACGCGGCCCTGAGTTCGAGCCCCAGTAAAAGCCTGTAAGAACAAATCAATAGATAATGTAAGCAAGTCTATATCCACTTAGCACAGACATGACATCTTCATCGTGAAATGTTCGCAGAGGAGCACAGGACGTGCGGAGACATTCCCCAGCTGGACCACGGCTACGCCCAGTCCTGGGAGCCTGGTGCCCCGTATCGCCATGGGGACACGGTGGAGTTCCAGTGCTTAGAAGCCTTCACCATGGTTGGGCCCAAGTCAATCACGTGCATGAGTGGAGCGTGGACCCAGCTTCCCCAGTGTGTCGGTGAGAAGACCCTCTTCCACCCCAGCCCTTTCCGAAGCTGAACTCTGTCTTTTTTGTCTTTTTTTCTTTTTGTTGGTTGTGGGGCTTGAACTCTGGGTCTGGGCGCTGTCCCTCAGCTCTTCAGCTCAAGGCTAGCGCTCTACCACTTGAGCCACAGCGCCACTTCCAGCTTTTTGTCTGCTTATGTGGTGCTGAGGAATCGAACCCAGGGCCTCATGCATGCAAGGCAAGCGCTCTACCACTGAGCCACCTTCCCGGCCCTGAACTCTGTCTTTATAGTCCTGGTATTCTTGAAAATTATTTTTATTCTTATCATTCAATGTATCAGCAGAAGAAAAACTAGAACAACTCTCAGTATAGAATGTTGTATTTCTGCCCGTGATATTCCTATTGTGTACTCATACAAGTATCAAGTTGGATTGAGGTTATAAATTGTGATAGGATTAAACTATGAGTCCCAGTTACCAAGAAATGGTGAATTTTTTCCACCTAAACATCTTTGCTGTTTTCAGGCCTTGGAAAGCCAAAGGACACTGACAAAATGCTCTCTCCTAGGAATCCTTCTTCTCTAGAAACTTCTTTACATTTTTAAAATCATCTTTAAGTAGTTGTACAAAGGAGGCACCGCAGAGCAAAGTGGTTTGTGACCGACATGCCTCTTGGTCAGTGGCTTTACTTCCACATTCTCTTCAACCCGCCCTGCATTCTCTCCCCTGACTCCACCCTTAATTTGTCTACCCCTCTCCTCTAGCCCCACCTCCTCTTGGATGGACCTATTTTCTGATGTTGATTTTGTTAGCTATTGATCTAGTCTTTCTAAAAAGGTAATACTCTCTGAACGCCCCGTAGAGTCTGTTACACTTTCGTTCGTTCATTTGTCATCACTCGCATACCGCTCACCTGTTTACTTACGACTGTATAGAGATGTTCTATTGACCACAAAGGAGGGAAACCACGCACCTTCTGTTCTCTGGGTCTCACAGCTTCTAACAAGGATAACTGATCAGATTCTTTCAGACATAGCGAAAGATGGGCCCAACAATATCGTGTTCTGCCAGACCTATAATTCAGGAAGCCTGGGCTGGAAACAAATCTTAGGAGGGATTTCTCTCAACTCATCTCATTGATTCAGTACACGTGGGAAGGATGGAAGCTAGCATTTGCTTTTCCCTTGGCCTGAGTTATTCCCAGACTACCCTGGGTCCTTCCTCTAGACAGTCTTCATTCACTGGATTTCTAGACATTAATCCCAGAAACAAGAGCTCAGATCTTGAGGATGAAGAGAAGCCTGCTTTGTGGGGGATGTCTGGTTGATACACGTAGACATTCAAAGAGTCTGTCAAATTAATTTAAAACAAATTTTTTTAATCAACCCTTATCTTACTTCCTTTGGCTAAACCTATTTTTTGGTATCAAAAGTACTGCCTTCAGTCTTTTACAACCTAAGCCCGTCATTTGCGTTTTCTTTTTCAACCAGTAAGTTCAGCTCATTTCATATGGGCTACCACTCCAAGCTCAACTCAGACGCGAAAACCCTTCACTCTTCGTCCTGTCTTCTAACACAACTGTACTTCCACGGTCATTTCTTCTTCTCTCAGAATTGCCCTTCCTCTGGTGAGTTTCCTGTCTATGTTCAATGTCATATCGCTGGACTCCTCTATTTTTCCTCCTATCCACACTTGGTATTTTCCTCTAGCTTCTTCACTTTCAGTATGGTTTTTACACCTAATTAACAGTGAAATACTGAAAGACACCACCACCACCACCAATGCCCTTGACCCCAGCTCTCTCTCCAGTCCCTGCGTCTTGCAAAATGTCCAGTTTTGTCTTACTCACCAAACTGGACCCGTCCTAAGTAGGAGACAGATTTTCAAGTTTCTATTGTGCTTTGAATTCGCCTATTTCATTTTTTCCCCTGAGATTGGTTCACAATACCATTACTGTGCTTTGTTGGGTTGCTTACATTTTGTTGCTCTCTTCATTTTCATGAGATTCAAGTTTTCAAATTATTAACAACAAATATTTTAAGGGATCTACACTGATATTTCCTTAGGTTCAGACAGAATTCTCACATTCACCAAGTAATTGAAGTATATGGAACATTTAAGGCCTCTATGGTCCATATTTAACTCATAAAAGAAATAGAATTAATTTTATTACTATGACAGGATAACATATTGGATTATAGGATGATCTGGTATATGAAATAACTTCTTACAACTTCAGCCAAGAGTTTAAAGAGAAAATATCATCATTCTAAAAATCCAATTTCCTGCTGGATGCTGGTGCTTCATACCTGTAATCCTAGCTACTCTGGAGGCTGGTTCCTCAAGATCAGAGTTCAAAGCCAACCTGGACAGAAAAACATGGGATTCTTAACTCCAGTTACCCAATAGAAAGCCAGAAGTAGAGCAGTAGCAAAAACAGCCAAGTAAGAGCTAGAGGCCTCACATTTAAGTCCTAGAACATAAAGAACCTGATTTCTTATTCTAAGTCTCAGTCTCTAATGTACTCTCTCTCTCCCTCTCTCTCCTTTCTCTCCCTCTCTGTCTCTCTCTCTGTCTCTGTCTCTCTCTCTCTGTCTCTCTGCCTCTCTCTCTCTCTCCTTCCTTTTCCCCTTTCCCCTCTCTATCTCTCTGATGGACATATAAAAATTCTGTTCAAATATTCATAGACCATCTCTTAGCTGTAGTTTTCCTATCACATGACTTTTCCTTAAAAGATACATTGTATTCTCAGAAATAATGGCTTTATTATGTATACGCCTACTGGATTCAGGTAACAGTGGTAATTATAATCGGGAAACCAATGACTGAAAACAGTTTCAGAGATTTTTTAAAAAGTGCAATAAACTGAGTCATGTGGTACTGTGCAGAGCACTTGAGAAAGCAAACATCTATGTTCTTTTAGCATAAAACGTCTTCGTGTCAGATACGGTCCCTGACAGGCCACGGAATGCCTTGCCATCAGGAGCATTATCATGGAAAGGCATCAATCGCCGTTTCATTGGACCTGAGCTCCATGACTCCAGTTTGTGTACTAGTAGGCTGGTTTCTGTAACTGGAGTTTTCACGGAAATACTTTCATTATTACAGCGACAGACCAACTTGAGATGTGTAGACCACCCCGGATTAATACACACGAGGCAAGCCAGTCAGAAAATCGGGAGTATCCTCATGACTACGTCCTAAGTTACAGATGCCGAGGGAAGCAAGAACGTACAAAGTGCGTGAACGGGAGATGGGACCCTGAACCAACCTGTACCAGTAAGCCCACGCTCACCCTCTCTGAACCACATCACATGGCTCCTCACTTGTAAAAGCAGTAGTTTTGTGCACTGTAAAAAAAAAAAAAGTAGCTATTTATTAATAGAGATACTTTCTAAACTCAAAGATACCTCAGAAACGAATCATTTTCTAAACACTCATTGCATCCTATTTGTTAGGTACTTGTAGTACAAAAGTACAAACATAGGGACTGTAAATCCACATCTGGACACATGCTCATCATTATAAAGTCCTGATGTTTCAGATTCCTTTATTATACACATGTGATTATTATATATATATATATATATGGATGCATCATATATATATATATATATATTACTAATAATCCATCTTTGTAGTCATCTATCTGTTTCTACCTACCTTGAAATCTTGACAAGCTGCAATCTGGAGGCATAATATTCCAGTGCCAATTCCAGCTGGCTAGCAAAGAGCTCCTCCCAGTCTGTATGCATTTTGTGTTTGTTTTATGCTTCCTAAATTGGTATGCTTTACCTCATTGGCCTCCATGTTTAAGTCCAGCTCTGAGTATCCAGAATACACTGACATGTCATTCCCAAGTCGACTCTATTACACATATTTCACCACCCCAGTATTCAGAAAAGCAGAAAATATTATTGACTAAATATAGATTATATTGCCTTAAGTGGACATTTAAAAGTTGAAATGATTAACAACTGATAAAATGTATTTGGTCAAATACCTCCCTGAATTGATAATACAATACTAAACAATTGGGAAGACGTACAGTACTTGGCAGGAAGCTTTTAATGCAGTGAGGTACACAGTGCAGGAAAAACAAAACAACAGAGGAATCACAATGGAGTTTATATGATCCAGATGCACGAAGAAGTCTCCCCTCAGCCAAACAGGACACAAATTATCCGGACACTACGAAGCTCCACAGAACATCCACAGTGACTCGGGTCTGCACAGAATCAGACGTGCGATTACGCTACCCCTCTGCTGTGTAACCATGCTCCGTTGTACAGTATTAGCTTGGGTGCATACCATTTGTATGTTCCTAAAAAGTAAGCATGTTAATAAATGGTAGGGACAGGCGATTCTTCATCAACAACACAATCTACATTGTCTGTGGGCATATTGAATACTTACGTTGACCAAGAGTCAATAACAAATTCATTATCAAATACATTTTTTTCCTTTTGCTAATTAGCTTTAACTGGTACAATTATCTCAATCTGATCCTGATATATTTGATCACAGATAACTGCAAAAAGACCTGGATATAACTTTTAGTTGATATTTGTTACTAGAATGGTAAATTAAGTTAAAATATCATAAAGGCTAGGAATAACTAAAAATAAGTCTTACATAAAATATTAAAGACAAAGCAAGAATAAATGGCGAAAAGATAAACCAGTGAACACGCCCAGGGTGACAAGAATAGATCATATTAAACTGCTATGCAAGGTAAAAAGTAACACAGAAACACAGAACCTTCAATAACCATTGAGGATTGATTGTTACCCAATTCTCCATCTTGAAAAGTATTCTTCATCTTTTATTAAACTATGGCTTCTGAATCAAGAACGTTGATGTTTATGTTTTCTAGAGATAGAACGAGGCTGGTGCCCCCCTCCCCCACAGATTCCCAAAGCCCAACCTATGGAAACCACCGTGAAGTATCAAGATGGAGAAAAGCTGTCTGTTCTTTGCCTGGAAAATTACCTCAGCCAGGAGGGAGGGGAGATGCTGTGCCAAGACGGGAGGTGGCAGGCCCTGCCACGCTGTGTGGGTGAGTCCCAGAGCACCTGGCCTTAAACTATACCCGATCATCTAGACCCACGAATCCATCACCACCATCACCACCATCATCATTTCTGTGATGAGGTAGAAAAGTCAGATTCAATTTGGGACTTTATGCTTTTTTTCACAGATGATGATCATACAGATATTATCATGACATCACCCCAGCAGTATTTTACTTCTTTTTTCCATTTGCAACATATTCTTTTTAGTTGACCATTTGTTTTGTTTTGTTTTCCTATTCTCTGTATAGAGAAAATTGGATGTTTTCAGCCACCCAGCATCGACTATGGGACTATCCAATCTCCTAGGCTTCTGGAAGAAATGAAGGAAGCAAATGCGCCCAGACCTTACAAACATGGCACCAAATTCAATTACATCTGTGACGATGGCTTCCAACTCTCGGCAGAGGATGGGACCAGGTGTCACCTGGGGAAATGGAGCCCACCGCCTCAGTGTGTGGGTGAGGATGCAGGGCACACAGCAGTGGCCTGGGGACAAATGTGAACATGAATCTCTGATGACAGGCTACAGAGTCATTTAAATGGCTGTAGATAAAAATCATTTCCTTAAAAAAAAAAAAACCCAGGGCCTCATGCACGCCAGGCAAACACTCTACCACTAAGCCACATTCCCAGCCCCATGAAAATATTTCCATGTTTTACCCTTAAAATACTTTTTTTTAAGTTTAAAAAAAATAGTTTTGTTTTCCAATTTGATGTGGTTTTTCGCATTTCCAAGGGCTTTTTTAAAAGTTATTTATTATTATTTTCTGTAAATAGTTAGTTGCCTCTTAACAAAGTAGTTTGTGAATACAATATATTTCGCATAATTGAGTCAATCCTAATTCAGTTCGTTCTATTGATTAGTGATAGAACCAGCTTTAAATGAGTGGGGGAAATGCAATAGGTAGCGCATTTGATTGTACCTCTTCACGTGAACCAGTATGTTTGTGATACTTTTTAATGCTTTTTCCCCACAATGTCTCTTCTGGTTTTTTATAACGAGTGATGCTTTTATTAAGCTTGTCAATGCTTTGCCAGGCACTGGCAGCTCACACCTGAAGTCCTAGCTACTCAGGACGCTGAGATCTGAGGATCACAGTTCAGAAAAGCTTGTAAGACTCTAACCTCTGCAATGTCTCCTCAGCTGTTTTAGGAATTCCCACAACTACTAAGTAGGACCCTGGCAGGTTGAATTGGATGTGTGGCTTACTGAAACATGCGTTCATTTTGCTGTCATTTTTAGGACTCCCTTGTGTGTCTCCACCTTCAATTGAGAATGGCGTTGTGTCTCACCATGCAGACAGTTACCAATACCAAGAAGAAGTCAGCTACAACTGCTCTGAAGGCTTTGGATTTGATGGATCTTCGTTTATTAAATGTATAGGAGGAAAATGGTCTACCCCACCCAGATGCATAAGTACAGTGCATTTCAGTATTTTCTCCATGTTAGATAGTCCAGAGGGCTGTCTATATGATGTCTGTAAGAAAGTAGCTGTGATTCTAGAATGTCTTAACCTTTCTCTTGAAGGCCCTGGATTTTGGCAGAGAATTTGCTCTAGATTAATTACTAATTGTATGAGATACATTTACTATTTGACATTATGAGCAAAAATAGTTCATTTCCACATCATGTGGTGTTAACATTCAACATCTCCTGGAATCAATTCTTGACTTCTTGTCTCCCCTGCTCTAGCATGTCTTGCCTAACTCACCAATCTCATTGTTCAATCTGCAGATAGTTGATTAGCAATCTCTCTACTAATACGCATCTCCTAAGAATTTAAAGCAGTCATTACAAGAAAAACTTACATGTAACAAAACAAAAACTGTAGACACATAATCTTGGTGTCATGTATGGAGGGGAAATAATTTAAGTGTAAAAGTGTGATGTCAGACACCCGAACAACTACGAATTCTTCAGACATCCAATATCATTCTCTACCTACACGTTCAATAATTGAGGACAATTCAATATAAGGAAGGCAAAACTGGGAGCGTATTCTGCTGAGATGTAAGAAATCTACTGTATAGGATTCATCAGTTCTACAAGTAGATATACAAGTTCTGCATATTATTTTAAAATATAAGCATTAGATACTGTGTCTTTTAAAGTTACTGAAACATAGCATCTTTTTCCTCTAGGAACAGACTGTTTTGACGTACCCAGAGTCGATGTTGCCAAACTCATAGGACAGAAGAAGGCCGTATACAAGTCAGGGGAACAACTGACTTATGAGTGCCCACCATTCTACCAGTTGAATGGATCCAATACTGTGACGTGTGTAAATGGCAAGTGGATTGGAATGCCAACATGCAAAGGTATTTTGATAGACATTTCACAGCTGGGCTCCAGTGCCACATTCTTGTAATCCTAGCTGCTCAGGAGGTTTAGAGCTGAGGATCATGGCTCAAAGCCAGTACAGGTAGCAAAGTCTGTGAGACTTTTAATCTCCAATTAGCCATCCAAAAGCTGGAAATGGAGCTGTAGCTCAAATGGTGGAGCACCAGCCTTGAACAAAAAAGCTTACAGACAGCACCTAGGCCCTGAGTTCAAGCCTGGCCAAAAAAAAAAAAAAAAAAAAAGCTCACTTATTAAAGTGATCTAGGAAATGGGTATTTCCTAGATCACTTTTAAAAAAATCATTAAAAATGGGTGTAGACTAATTTTTAGGTCAAAACAAAGGTTTGCATTTGAAATAAGAAGGGAATTGAATATGTAATGGTTAGTCTCATAGTCTCATAGTTCTCCAAATGTGGTCCCTGAACAGCATCGTCGACAGCTTTACATTTGTTGATGAAAATTCCTAAGCTCATTTTAGACCAACAGAATAAGAATAATCTAGAAGTGGGATCTTAAAACCATTTTATCAAGTGCCCAAAGGGGACTTTATGCACGTATCATTTTGGAAAAGTTTGCTATTGACTCATTATCAACAATATACCGAAAACTCTAAAGAAGTCTACATTGTGCATTCTAGTCTCTTAAACGATTCTAAATAAATTATTAAAGACTTGTTTTTAACAGTTATGATTTGTTTTTCTGGATTTTTCTTGTGTCTCCAATTAGAATTTTTTGCATCATCCTCTCCACCTTTTGTGAACTTGTATTCTTTGAACAGTATTCTTAATTCTTGAATTATTCCCCAAATAAATACTTCTTTGTGTTTATTTGAAAGGGATAAAATTAAAATTGATAATCAAGGTGGCTGAAAATGGAAGAATGAGACCATAGAATCTCCTGGCTCAGGGGGAGAGGAGTTGTTTTCTTTCAATTAATATTGCATTTATAGAAACTGTAATATTAATGTCACTAAACTACAAAGAGAAACGTTCAGGAGAGGTTTTATTTAAACTGATATTGAATATGGGAAAAAATCTATCTATGTCTTGTTGAAAAATGGAAAGGGGATTTAAAAACATGAACCTGAATTTTTATTTCAAGAATAATGCGGTAACTTCCTTGATAACACATGTTAATTTCGTTTAGAAAATGCAAAATGAACACCAGGTGGATATACTGTCTTTTTAGATAATTCCTGTGTGAACCCACCCAAAGTGGGAAATGCTACTATGGTGTCCAGACAGATGGATAAATACCCACCTGGTGACAGAGTACGCTATGAATGCAACAAGCCTTTTGAACTATTTGGGCAAATGGAAGTCATGTGTATGAACGGCACATGGACAGAACCCCCTCAGTGCAAAGGTGAAGTGCCAGCTTCCCCAGTATGTCTGTCTGTCTGTCAGAAAATATACTGTGGACAAAAGAAAAAGCCAAATGATTCTTGCTGAAAAAACAATAGTCTGGCTGAATTCTTTGGTCTTTGAGCAAATGAAGCCTAGAATGGTATAAATATTTTTCAAGAAAGATGCATGCAGATTACAACCAGTGAAAATTCTTCATTTAAAATGTTAAGACATTGTTGCTTCTTGAATAGTATGTGTAAAGCCTATGTTGTATAGGCTTGACATCCTATAAGATACCCATTTGAGGCTGTAGACTCGGCAGTTGAAAATGGATCATGTAATATGATATGAATTTGTTCATCTTTCATGTATAAATTCTATTTCAAGGTATAAAGTCTACTTCAATGACTGAGATCATCATATCTTGAAACAGAATTGACTGTACTTATACATAAATAAGCCTGGACACTTAGCCATTTGTACTACAATATGGAATGTTCAGGAAAAATGGAAAACCAATAATGGAGATCTTGTATCATCCATTTACATTTCTGAAAATTAATTATTGCATAGTATGTCTGGATCTTTTTTCACTTTGATTCTATTTTATTAATTGTTAATGTGGATTTTATTGACAGGAGAAAAACCAACAATGCATTTTTTAAAATTAAATGTGCCTAGTATTTTTGTCTGTTTTTACTTTTGATTATATCTATATCTATCTATAATAGAGATAGATAGATAGATAGATAGATAGATAGATAGATAGATAGATAGATATTTTTTTTTGGTTGGTTGTGAGGCTTGAACTCTAGGCCTGGGCACTGTCCCTCAGCTCTTCAGCTCAAGACAATGCTCTAATGCTTGAGCCACAGCGCCACTTCCGATTTTCTAGTGGCTTATTGGAGATAGGAGTCTCACGGACTTTGCTGCCCACGCTGGCTTTGAACCATGATCCTCAGATCTCAGCCTCCTGAGTAGCTAGGATTACAGGCGTGAGCCACCAGCGCCCAGCTATATCTATTTTTTGGTTGTTGTTGATGAAGTGAATTTTTACATTGATAATAGGTATTTGGGTCTTGTTTATCAGTCCACCTTGCCACTGTGATATTTTGACTGGTAAATTAGGCCATTTACAGTTAATGTAATTATTGATGTGCTAAGGCTGTCTGACATTTTATTTTTAAGCAATCTTATTTGGATTCATGTTCGTTGTGTCTTTGACAGCATCCCCAATCTACCCTTTTAAACTTGTTGCTCTAGGCACTACAATACCCATCCCCTATGTAGATTCTCCAAATACACCCCTGTATGGAGATTGCTGTTTCTATAGCATTATACACTACAATGGAAAACTAGAAACTTCTACAATTTACCCTCCCCACCTTTTAATTAAAAATGCTTTCAGCATTTCCTCTATGAACAGGGAGTGTCACTATCAAATAATAGAGTTTCGCCTCAAATATCAAACACAGTTGACAAACTCATGGAGGAGATTCTCCTGCGTACCTTCCGTCTTATCTCTTCTCTCTCCTGAGTCACTACCTCCTGGTGCCATTTCAGTTCTGTTTGAAGAATCCTTTCTCTTACACTCCAGTGGGAGAAGGGCTATAGGAACCTGGAAAAAAAAAATTAAGGAGGATGGATGGAGGAGGATAAGAGTCATGTCCATGAGAGTGGACATGACTGAAAGGCGTGTTGTGTGCGCGGACAGGAGCCTTTCTTTACTAGGAGTGCGCACAGGCGCGTGTCTGTGCGAGTCTCCTGGAGATAAGCGTGGCTTCATCCTCAGGACAGGGGCCCTGCCTGTCGCCTCGGGGCCCACGACCCCAGGGTCACGGTGGGAGCCCGCTCTCGGTGGAGCCCGGGTACCACCTCTGTGGTGCTCGGGCTTGCGCACGGGGTGGCCTCTCCATAACCCATCCATCCAACGTTCCCTAGACGCCACCGGAAAGTGCAAGGCCCCTCCGCCCATCGACAACGGCGACACCATCTCGTTCCCGCTGCCCGTGTACCCGCCACTCGCGACCGTGGAGTACCAGTGTCAGTCTCTGTACCAGCTCCAGGGAAACAAGAGAGTCACGTGCAGGAACGGGGAGTGGTCGGAGCCGCCGCGCTGTCTGCGTGAGTGACGGTGACACCCCGGG